TTATTTAATACTTATTTAACAGATTCTTATGAAAAGTGTGAAAGAAACTCTTGCCTTAGTTTAATTACAGTTCACTCTCTATTTATATATTAAAAATATGAAAGAATATTTTTTTAAGATTTTCAAAGAGTTTTAATAGTTAATTAAAAGCTTCTTATGAAAAGAGTGATCTTACAACAAACTCTTCTCTTGTCTTACTTTATTAAAAGTTCACTACCTATTTTAATATATTTATCTATCTATCTATTTATAATGGAAAATATTTTAATATATTATATTATATTTATTAATAATAATATATTATATTATATTTATTATATTATATTTATGAATAAATATATTTAACATACATTATAATAATGTAAGCCCTGGACATTATAATTTCTTTCAGAAACAGTAAAGGAATCCCTTCCGACCCTGTAAACTATATATATTCTTAATTAGCATCAAGAGGCGAATCTTTTTTTAGGCAATTTTTTCAACATTTCATAAGAGGTGACATCGTTAAAATTTTAAAAAAATTAATAAAAAATTAAATTTTTGTAAAATTTTATACTGAGTATGCAGATTAATTAAACTATTAAAAACGAATATAAGAAAACTTTTTTAATTACAATTAATGAATTTTTGGCTTAGCTATAGATTTTTTTTATGTTTTGAAACCCAACGTATATCACGTATACGTACTATTGTCCTCAAAACCATGGATTATCTCTCCCTTAAATATCTAAAAATAGTCTTACTTTCTGTGTTATATTTTGTAACTGGAAAACATTTGGAACCTAATATAAATAAAAAAAATACGTATACGTAATTAACATAGAATATCACGTATACGTACCGTTGTCCTCTTTTAAATATCAAAAAATTGTCTTACTTTCAGTGATTTATTTTGTACATATCTGGCAAAAATCACAACCTTTAAAAAAATTACGTATACGTAATATTTCCATAACCAACTTGGAATATAACGTATACGTACCATTGTCCTACAGACCCCGGATAATCTTCCGTTTAAATATTTAAGACCTTGTCTTTCTTTTAGTGATTTATTATGTAACTTTAAAAAACTAAAATTATAAATTATAAATATAAAAAATTACGTATACGTAACATAATCTTTCCTTTAAATATCTAAAATTTAGTTTTACTTTCAGTGATTTGTAACTGGCAATAATTGACAGCAAACGATTATAGGAAAGGTTTTCGAATTTAAATTAATGATTTTTTGGCTTTGTTCTGAGTTCTTTTTTTTTGTTTTAATTTGTTGAAAAATTGTCATTTAAAAATATAGATTAATATCGATTCAAAGAATGCTAATATATGAAGCCATGGTTTATAAACTTGAGATTCCTCAAGTTATTTTTTCTTGTTTTAATATTTAATGTATGTTCTTATTATTTTTCCAAGTGCACTTTTTAGCTGGCCGACTTGCTGACTTGACCAAGTTCTTTTTGGCCTCCTTTTTTTTTTGTGTTGCCGTCTGTCTCTTTTGGCGGATATGCGCTCTTAGCGAAAATTGCATTTGGCCAAATGAGTGGAAGGAGACCAAGATGGAAGGATGTGGATGCCCCCAGGAGAAGCCTGTGGACCAAAGTCCAAGACAGACTCTTAATATTTCATCCTTCATGCTCATTTGCACTTATGCGAGGGGAATCCACACGAAGAAATACAGGACGAAGGACAATGGTTAGAGACACACTGAATATAATAAAAAAATAGAAATTAAGAAATAGGAAAAACAGTATTACTACTGTACTCTTTATCAGTAACAAAAAGTACTGGAACAAATTTTGAGTAATGAATAATGAAAGTAAATAATGTTTAAACAAGAAAGGAAGCTTGATTCGGCACGCCGAACTTTGTATTCCCTTTTAGATTGAATTAATACAATATAAATTATATATATTTATGTTATGCTTCCATTTCATTAACTGTTTTTAATTTTCGTCTATTTTTAACGATTGTTTGTATGACATCTATGTTATATAGTAGGCTGATTTTCATAAAATTGTATAATATATATATATCTAAATATTTTGAAATCTGGAAAAGTTCTAATTTTTTTCTTAAAATTTTCCGATCGTTCCTATGGCAGCTATATGGTCCGATAGCTTCCATCAAATAGACTGCTCATAAATTTGTTCTAAAATGAATCTCGCACATGTGTGCTTATGATTCCCAACTGGTTCAAACATCCCCGGAACGAAGTGACTTCTGCCAGCCAAGTCCCAGATATGTGTTGTGTTACAAAAGTTGCAAGTCATTGTTTACAAGTGTTTAAAGTCCGTAACTGATCATAAATACTTACTGGTTATAGGATCCCCAAATATTAAAATTAAAATTTCCTGTAATGATAAGATTTTAACGGTCGATCAAAATTATATTTATATCCTAAAATAGAAATGTTTTACTCTCTATATTATCATAATATTCCTTAAGACTTTATCCTTTGCATAATTCCAATTTGTTATATTTTCCTATGGCTATTTTATCATCTTGTCTTGTATTTTCTGCCTGTTATTTTGATAAATTTCTTGACAAAATGTAGACAAATATGCCCTATAGCTATGTATATTTTTTTATATTATTTATTTTTGTATAGATATTATAACCATTTTATTTGTTGGTAGACCACACACAGAGCCCAGTTAAATCGATATCTGATGTTAGTTTTTCTTTTTCTTTTTGAGCTGTGCAATTCTTCGGTGGCTCGCCTGTATTTCTCTTGGTTTTTTCCTGGATATTTTCCTCTATTTTCTCCTCTATGATTCTGCCGGGTTGCCCTTCCATTGACGACGTCTTCAGGCTGTTGGACGAAGGACGAAGGGCGAAGGACATGGAACCTTTTGCCGTTGGATGAGGAGGACGGCACCTGCTGCGAGTTATTTACAGCCACTGGAGGGCATTCCTTTCTTCTTCCTGACTTCCTTCACCTCATCGCTCCCGTTTTTCTATATATATTTTTTTTTTAGAGCTGGATAGCAGGAGCAGGGGCAGCTCGTCCTTGTACAGCTATTACACATTGCCGGAAGCATTTGAATGTGTTTATGTGTAAGCGTCTATCGCTCAAGTTTGCCCGCAGCTGGCCCTCCATAACAGCAACTAAAATGTTTCCGTTATTAAGCTAAAGAAACACTTAACTTTGCGCCAGGATCAGCAAGGACGACGACGTCAGGTGCAATGAATATGCAGGTGGTAGCGGATAATAAGAGGGGAGATGTGAGAGGCGAGTGCGAGTGCTACGAACATGAAACTTTTGAGGTGTTTAAAACGTTAATTTGCTTTAGATTTTACAGGGAGTTACTCCTTTCTTCCCCGCCGTCCAGGATATGCACCTGTGTGTGAGTGATTTTCGCATTAACGCTTGCCACTTTGGCGGTTCGAGTCAACGGAGCACAAAAAACTGCTCGCCATTCTCTACTTATTTTCTTTTCTTTTATTTTATATATATTTATTTTTTTGCTGCTTTTGTTTGCTTGTTCAGAAATTAAGCGCAATGAAAACAAATAAAATTACTCACACACTTCCCCTCCCACCACCGAGTGCATTTTCATTGAGTTTAAAGGGGAAAGTCTAGGAAAACTCTCAGTGGACTTTAAGAATTAAATTCAAGGCATCGAAAAGGAATTAAGTTTTAATTAATGAAATCATTTTGATTGAGTTTTCTTTATTAATACACTTTTTGTGCATATTTATATGGGATTATTAAAGGTTATAGTTATTTACTTTTAGTTTGTATTTAAAGCTTACCTTAATTAAAGTCTGATTACTTTTTCCAAGTAATTTTAAATGGGTTGGTTATTTTTATACCCTTTTAACGATATTATAATTTCAGTCAGAAGCTTGAAGGAGTCATTTCCGACGCTATAAATTATATATATTCTTGATCAGCATCAACAGCAGAGTCGATTTAGGCATCTTAGGAAGAAAAAATAAATTTTTATAATTTTTCCAAAATTTTGTTAGGAGTTACATCGTTAAAACATTTAAAAATTTATAAAGTATTTTGTATTTTTAAAGTTTAAATTGAGTATGCAGATTTATTAACCTAATGAAAAACTAATATACAACAGCTATCTAAATTAAAATTAATGCTTTTTTGGCTTTATAAGTTTCTCAAACTCTGATAAAAAAAATTGTCAAAGAAAAATATCGATTCAAATAGTGCGAAGACTTGAAGCTTAGTTATGATCGATTTCCGATTTAATTCTTTTATTCATTTGTAAACTTTAAGAGTATGTGAAATAAGGCTTGTTGAAGTTAGTTTACTTTCTAGTTTAAGTTTATAAGTGCACAGGTAAATTTTAGTTAATGTGATCCTAGCAAAATATATCAATAAAAGAGTATAAATTAATTTGTATCTACTTTGTATAGATTTAAGAGTTTTCTATAGAATATTCTGAAGCCAAGTTAATATTTTAGGTACATTTTCATTAGGTTTTATAATTAAAATACACAATTTTTAGGAACTATATGAGCTCTCAGTAGGTTCCAATCCCTTAATGTATTTATATACTTCCCTGTTTCAAATGTTTTGTATCTGAAAACCATAAATAATTACCTCATCAATCTAATAAACAATTTTATTAATTCTTTTACCATGCATATAAAGCCTGAACAATTTTCTTAATTATTTTACCATGGAAATTTACTTAATTTCTAGAAAAATAAATAAATATTAAGGTACAAATTAATCTGTATATATTTTGTGTAGATTTAAGATCCTGTTATGGAATATTTTGAAGCCAAATTAATTATTTTAAGTAAATTTTCCAAAGACTATAATTAACTTTAATTTTTGCAACACAATTTCTGAAACTACATGTATTTTATTTGTACATGATTTGTTTAACAATTTTCTTCATTATTTTACCATGCTTATTATACATAAGCATAAGCATAAAAGCTCCTAAAAATATAACTCATAAAAAGTATTTTCCGACTGATAAATATATGTTCTCCTTTCAACTTGACTCACTTGGTAGTTCCAGGAGTACTTAACAAAACCCCACTCCTTCTGCCACTTGACCAGGACTCACGTTCATTCGCATTCCTTGGCAGTCCTTTGCCCCTTCTCTCTCTCTCCTTCTTCTCCTCGAAATCAACTTTCATAATTAAATGGCAAGTCCGAGCTTCCTATTAGAACCTGGACTTGGTCCTGTTTCCACTCTCCTCCCACACACATACACAGACAGACACACACATACACACGTGCATGCATAAAACAATTTAACACTTAACGTGGCCAGGAGCTGAAATAAAAAGCGCATAACTCATGCGAGAAGTCGACGGTGGCTGAGACGCGGGCAGAGGCGACGACGGCGCCATAAATTTCAAAAACAGCTACAAAACAGGAAGCAGCCGGCGGAGCAACAAAAGCAACAACAACAACAATAACAACAACAACAACAACAATGGGGGAGAAAGAAGAAATGGTTTTTAAATAGATTCGATATCATTATACCCTCGTAGAAAGGTTAAAAATGGTTCGATTTTAATTAAATTTCACACAATAGATTGTAAGCATTAAATACATCAATACCTAAAATTTCAGATCAATATCTCAAAATGGTTTTGAGTTATTTAAGATATTTGAAATGTTTTTAAAGATTTTATATAGCATTTTGGGTAGAATATCTTTATAGCTTTAAAGATTAGATCGACAGCATTAAATACACATATCAATCAATATTAAAAAAAAAAATTGAGTTATTTAAGATATTTTGAAGGAATTTTTGATAAAATAATAAAATAATAATAATAAGAATAACTTATAATCATTAAATACATAAATATATAGATTTTTAGGTTTTCTATGAATTTTAGAAGGAATTTCCAAATTATGGAATAGCTAGTAAAAATTAAATATATATCCGTGCATTTTCTGATAAATATATTTAATTGTCACAGAGTTATTTTAGGTATACGAAAAGTTAGCTTAAAACTTGTAGTGTAATTTTTGTTATATATTAGAAGAACATTTTGAAAGTTAAATAAATGGGAACTCTCTTAAGATTGATTTTCTTTACAAAATAAGATATGAAGTTTTTTCTGCAGTATTGAAAACTGTTAGATATTATTATTAAAATAATATAATTGCTCTATAAATTATTATAAAAAACTCGCTGAAATATTTTTAAGTCTTAACTATTTAAGTACAAATGAATTGCTTGAGGATCTATAATGCATTATAATATATTTATGTATATCCCTTCAAAGGGTATTTACAACGTAGAAACACCAAGAACAATTCGAGTGGAATGTACTAGAGAAAGAGAGGGAGATACATAGAGAGAAAGAGAAGGCATGAGAGGGCGCGAGGGCGACCCGCAATGGACTGCAAAAATATTAACTACCTTTTAGCAAAAAGCGGGCCAAGCTGACGTCAAGTTTTGTAGAAAATTATGTTTTACAATGCGAAAATTGAATTCCAGTTTATTGTTTTCTGCTTTTACTTCAACCGCTGGGTTTTCCCTCTTACTCTCTTTTGTTGTTGTTGTTTTTCTTATTCGCTTTTCGCAGCATTTTTGTTTTTACGATTAACTGTTAAATGCAGCCGACTTTTCACCAATTTTGTGGCTGCAAGTCAACGACTTTTCCATGTGTGCTCGGGTTTTTCGGGGTCTTTTCGATTTTCTTATTACTTTGCTGGTATTTATATTTAAATTAAATGAAAACGTTTAGTAGTAAAAACGATTTAAAACAAAAGTAAAATAGTTAGACTTTTATAATGTATTAAATTTTGTTTATTTCCTAATTTGTAGCATATTTTCAGGCTTTGGGGCTGCGCTTTTCCTCGTAGCCTTGGTGAAAATAAAAGAAAGCATACACTTGGGCTGCATTTTATTACAATGCCCTTATAACACTAACAAAAAACACACTAAAACTAGAATTTATAAACTAAAAAAAAAACTATTTTAAGCACAGAGACTTCTGCTCCAGGTCCGCTGCCTCTTCCGCTCCCGCCGCCGCCTATTTGTCCAGAGGCGGAGCACAAGGGGGCGGCTTACGATCTGACCTTGACCCCTGCCTGTGGCCATGCGACCCACCCCACTTAACCAATTGGCCTGCCGGTGCTCCACATAAGGTTGCTGTGGTTCCGTGCGGAAGTAGAAGCTACCCTTTGCCCTCCTTTGCGAATGGATCCCAAAGCGGGCTCTCCGATTGCCATCACAATAGCCGGCGGAGAACTCGCGGTAGGAGCCACACTCATAACCCACAAAGGGATACTCCGGATCCATGGATTGGCGGAAGAAGATAGCCGCCGCCGAGTGACTGCAGGCAATGGGATCTAAGGGATATAGCAGGTGTGTAAACTCTAAAATCAGAAAACTATATACTAGTACTTACTGGAGTTTTGCATATCCCGCAGATTGGCAAACATTTTGCAATTCGTTTGCGGTGCTCTTCCTCCATTTGGATAGAAGTCAGCATGACCACACTTAAGACTTGTGCCCAGTGTTCCACCTGAAGTGTGAATCACCTGTACAAATTGAGCATCACCAGGATCCAATCTGTACTTGGGGGCCACCTCTGCGGGCAGGGAAAACAAAGGTCCTGCAGGATCCAAGCCAATGATCTGCTCCACCTTTCCCTCGAGCACGGCACCCGCATAGCCGGCAGCATGGGCACCCAGGCTATATCCTGCCAAGGTGACATTGCTGCGATGAAAGTGACTCGGACGCAGTTCCTCCAGGGCCATGATTATGCCAGCCACAGTGAGACCCACATCGAAAATGGACATTGAGGCGCTTTTGTAGTCATTCTGCGACAAGTTTCCCCAATCCACCACGCAGACATTGTAATTGGAGGCAAAGAGGGTCCAAGCTGGGAAGGATATTATAGAGATGAACTAGAAAGAAAGGAAGATGAATCTATATCTTACTTAGTAGAAGTTCCTGCACCCAGTCCTTGCTGCCCTGATCATTCCAACCATGTAGAAATAAAGCCAACTTCTTCTTAGGATCCAAGCGACGAAAGCCACGCAAATCACCAAGTTGCAAGTTGAAGTGAACTTCGTTGCCAAAGTCCTTGGCGGAACTGAAATAAATAGCAAAGATTTATATAAAATAAGATACATAAACCGAAAGATTAAATAAAGTCCTTGACGGAACTGAAAGATATTAAAAGAATTATATAAAATAAGATACATAACACGAAAAGAGAGGTATGAGAATAAAAAAAGTTCTTGGCGAAACTGAAAGATATTACAACATTCGTATAAAATAAGATACATAATCCGAAAAGAGAGATATAAGTTTGTTGAAGAACAATTTAGAAAAAAAAACTTAAGGAAACTTAAAATTTGATAGTAAATTTCATAAAGAAAAATATTTAACTATTTTTTAAGCAATTTGTTAAGGGAAATTCCTTTAAACTATCTAAAATACTTGCATTTACTTGAGCTACTAATAAAAAGTGAATTATTTGCCTTATATTTCCTAGACTGATATCATGTCTATATTGTTTTTATGATCTTTAAATCTTTATAGTTTATATTTTCTGACTAAAGGAAAAACCATTATACTTGCATTTACTTGAGCTAGTATTAAACTATTTATTATTTGTCTTATATTTCCTATATATTGATTATATATATTTATATATATATATATATTTCCTGATTATATACCTATATTATCTAAATTATTTCTATATCTTTATAGTTTTTATTCTCTGATTAAGGAGAAATCCAAGGAACTAGCTAAAAAACGTTCTTATAATCAAACTATTAATATAAATGACATAGTCCATATTCCATTCCTATCTTTATAATCTTTATATTATCTATATTTTCTATAAATCTTTATAAATAAAATTTTGTTTTTAAAAATCATAATAAACCGATACAAAAACTATTTCGATTCTGTAAGATCTTTTACATCGAAGATAGCAAATTTCTTTTAATAATCAGTTAATTCTTAGTTAATAACCATTTGTAAGCTTGAAATAAATAAATAAAATATCTTATTTAACCCTCTAAAACCTCCATCTCACATGGTTCGGCACTCGAAGACAATCCCATGGTTAAGATGTGCCCGTTCCAGGCTATTTCTAAGCATCGTCTCCTGGAGATACCGGAAGGCCTTCATCATGGGACTCCAACGGTGTAAGGCCTCGGTCGCCGGGACATGGCCGAGCAGGACGAAGAGCAGGCAGGAGAGGCCAAGGAGCTGCAGGCGGGACTCGTGACCGGGCATGCGGTCAGTGGATAAATGAGAGCAGCCACCGGAAAGCTGGAAGATTTTGGATAACCTCCACACTCCACAAAAAAGCACGCCACCAAAAAAAAAAGTAAAGAAAAACCGCCGAGGGGAGGGGAGAAGAGGAGGAGGAAGAATCTCGAGATAAAAAACGAAAGACACTCCGCTCTGGACCGCTTGGATGACTACTGACTACTGAAGAACCGAAGAACCCGAAGCGCTTGTAACTCCAACAGACCCGTGAAGATCCCAATGATCGTGATGCAGAAGGGTACTGAGAGAAATTGGGGGGTTAGCTCTTAAATATTATGAGATTTTTATATATATTATAGATAGAAAAATCGTATTTTGTAGATGTAATGTAAAAAGAATATGTTGTAAACTCTCTTCTACAGATAATACTTTTTTAAAAAATTATATTCATTTTTAAATAAATATAAAAATAATAATAATACCAGGAAATATCTATAGATCCATTAAATCAATATCTATAAATTTTAGAGTACATAAATATAAACTAAGTAATCTTCTATCTCACAGCAAAATATTTTGTATGAAATCTTGTAGGCATTCTACTAAAAAGAAGACTTGCTTTAAAAATTCTAATAAGCTTTGCATATTAAAATAGTAATACCATTAAAAGGAAATTTCTATAATTACATTAAATAAATAATTATCAATCTTAGAATTTACATAAATTAAGAAAACCTTGATCTCAAAAATATATTTTTTATAAGAAATGTTTTAAGTTTCCCCCCAAGCAGAATACTTGCTTTTAAAATTATAATAATCTTCAAATAAATAAAAATAAAATAATAATAATAGGATCCCAAAGATATATTTTTTAAGGGAAAGTTTCTGGGCTTTCTAAAGAAAAAAAAACTTGCTTTAAAAATTAAAATAGTCTTTAAATAAATATATTTTTTTTAGGAAATGTTTTCGGCTTTCTAAAATAGGTAAAAATTGCTTTAAAAATTCTTAAAATCTCCAAATAAGATACTAGTAAAAGCAATGATATATAGCTACATAAAATCCCTAATTAAAATTATATCTTTCTCCCCCCAATTTTCTCCCAGTGTAACTACCACTGATGACCCTGCTCTCTGGCGTTCTTGGCCGCCTGTTTGCACAAGTGAAAGTACAGAAAATAAAAGCTTGTAACGACTTTGGTATCTTTGAGACTTCGATTTCGATTTCTTTTGGTCCGGAGTTTGTCGGTTCTTTGGTATTTGGTTATCGGTATTCCGGTATATATATGTATACATATATCCACTTCACTGATCTTGACATAGAAGCCACATGCTGCAAACGGTAGCCACACACAAATTTTTCTGACTTGTCACGGTTACTCTTGGCCGGAATAGTTAACTTGGCCAGCTGAGCAAACCAAAAACAAAAAAAAAAAACGATAATAAAAGCGAAAGACAAGGCGTCGCATTCAGGCCTCATCTTGGATCGAATAGGTTTATTTTAGTGCAGCCATAAACTTTGAAGGGAGTTGATCTTGGGAGACGCTTTCTCAATGCACTTGGAGAAATAGAAAGGAGTTTATTGGAATATATAAAAATATGAAGAGTAAAATATATAAATGAATGGAGAAAAGAAGAAAAGAAGAAGTGTAGTGGGATGCAAAAAAAGAAAAAATATAGAAAATTAATATATAATAAAGAAAATATATAAGAATACAAAAATGGAGAATTAAATATATAACTAAATATAAATGGAGAATAATAAGGGCTATTATAAAAATGAAGATTAAAATATACAAATAAATGGAGAACAGAAGAAGTATAGTGGGATGCCAAAAAATAAATAATAAAATTTATGAATAAACAAATAAATATAGAATAAAAGAAGTCTATTAGGATACAAATAAATTAACGAAGAAAATGAATAAATGGAAAATAAAATATATATTAATTAAAAGAAGTCTATATAAAAATGAAGAATAGAATATATAAATAAATGAAGAAAACAAGAAGTGTATTGGATGCAAAAATGGATATTAAAATATATAAATAAATTAATAGAGAATACAAGTGTATTGGGATATAAAAAATAATATTTAACTATAGTACAAAAAATAAATAAGTGCAAAAAATTAAGAATAAAATATTAAAATAAATAAATGGAGAATTGAAAATAGAAAATAGAAGAAGTCTAAGGAGATTGAGGAAAAATAACTAATTAAAAAGGTAATAGAATAAAAGAAGTCTATTTGGATACAACAATTGGAAATAAAATATTTTAATAATTAAATTTAGAATATTAAAGTCTATATAAAACTTAGGAATAAAATATATTAGTAAATGAAGAATATAAAATGTGTAACGGCAACCAAAAAATGGGAATAAAAAATATATAAATAACATCAGAATAAAAGAACTCTATTGGGTTACAAAAATGCTAAATATGATATATAAATAATATTCAAGACCATTTCATTTGTTGATTTTTTAAATAAAAATGTGTAAATACAAGACCAAAATAGATTTTTTAGTTTCTTAACCTTTAAAATAATATATTTTAGTTGCTTTTTAAGCCAGAAATCAAATATCATTGAATATTTTTTTTAATGTTAATATAGCAACATATATAAAACAATATTTTAATATTTTAAATAGCAACATTTATGATTCAAAATATTAAATTATCAAAAACATATTAAAAATGGATATATATTGATTGATTATTTTCCTATAATAATTTTTTCCAGTGCACCCAAATGGCGGACAAACTTACAAACTTTGACCCAAAATGCGCTGTTTTTTATGTCGCGCTCATAAAGTATGTTCGGTTTACAAGAGATAAACCATAAAATAATGCCTCCCGCCTTCCCGCCCATTTGCCCCTTTGCTTTTTTTTTCTTCTTCTGCGGAGCTTTCTAACCCATATGTGTTGAGCGTTAGAAAGAGAGAGAAGAACGCTAATGATGCGCAAGTAAAGTGCCAACCGAATTTCGTTGTCTTCGCTTTATTGTTTTTCATATTTCCAGAGAGAGATAGAGAGAGAAGAGGAAGCTCCAGATCGAATCTTTAGCTATTTCTGCTCTTTCTTCTGGCTTTGTTTTGATTTCTTCGCCGGCGATTTCTGCTGTCTTTTTGTTATATTTTTTTGTTGGCATTCGATTAATTTGCATATCTTTCAGTTCGCTTCACCTGTTGGCTGGCCTCAATGTCAACTTTATGCTCAATACTATCAATCCGGGCAAAATATTTCGCAGAGTCAAAAAAGGTGGAATGTATCTCCAAGTGGAGAATCAGAGAGAAGACAGAAGAAGATTTGAATTAGTTTTTGAAAAAGAAATAGTAAAGAATCTAAACAATGTAGAAATGCCTAAAAGAAATCAAAGGGAATTCTAAGTATTTACAGAAAATCTAAAGGTGTTTAAAGACTTTATAAACTATTAAAAACTTTAATAATTAATTCAATAAGAAACCATCAATGGAATCCTGCCAGGAGAAAAAAAGAGTTTTCCCTTTTGAATTTAATTCGATTCACTGGGAACAATCGTTTATCTTTTATAATTTAATATTCATGAATGAAAACAGCTTTGTTTATAAAGATTTGAATTAGTATTTGAAAAAGATAGATAAAAATTTAAAGAATGTAGAAATGTCTAAAAAAAATCAAAGGGAATTCTAAGTATTTACAGAAACTCTCAAAAGGTGTTTAAAGACTTTATAAACTATTAAAAACTTTAATAATTAATTCAATAAGAAACCATCAATGGAATCCTGGCAGCGGGAAAAAAGAGTTTTCCCTTTTGAATTTAATTCGATTCACTGGGAACAATCGTTTATCTTTTATAATTTAATATTCATGAATGAAAACAGCTTTGTTTATGAAGATTTGAATTAGTTTTTGAAAAAGATAGTTAAGAGTTTAAAAAATGTAGAAATGCCCAAAAGAAATCAAAGGGAATTCTAAGTATTTACAGAAACTCAAAAGGTATTTAAAGACTTTATAAACTATTAAAAACTTCAATAATTAATTCAATAAGAAACCATCAATAGAATCCTGGCAGCAGAAAAAAAGAGTTTTCCCTTTTGAATTTAATTCGATTCACTGGGAACAATCGTTTATCTTTTATAATTTAATATTCATGAATGATCAAGAAAGTTTTCTCGGCAGCCAGCCAGCTAAAGGCATTTTCCTGGCTCTTCCTTTCATGCACTTGGAAGTTTTCCTTGCCTTGCCTTTTGTTTTTTGGCCATTTTCTTCATGTGTCTCTCTATCATTAAGGCAGAGTGCGGCTTAATTGTTGCCACAGACAATGTGAGTGGATGAAGGGGGGTGGGAAAGGGGGGGATGCTCTGGATGCCCCCCAATCATCAGTTGCTTTGCCTATTAAGCAGCATCATAATAATAATGTGTACAACAACAGCAAAAGCATCAGCAACAACAACAGCTGCTGGCAATAACTTTTACATACAAGTATCTGTGTGGCGGAACACTGAGAAAAAAGGGGGAAGGTTTACAATATTTTTGCATAATCAGATATTATGTATTAATTATGATATTATGTATTAATTAATTATTATTATTGAGGAACAAATGAGAGACTTATTGTTATATTTTTGATGTTCTTTACTCTTCCATTAAGTATCGAATATATTAAACTGTTAACTTATTTATTAAGTATTTGCTTACCTAATTTATATACATTATTATATTAAATATACAATTATTATGAAATTGCGTTAAGAACCGTATATATTAAGCAATTTATTTACTTATTTAAGCATTTTTTTACTTTATTTAATTAAAGTTTTATGTATATGATACCACTACTATAACATTTTAAAATGTTCCTAGAACTTCAACTATTTATTAAATTATTTAAGCACTTCTTAAATTTTTTTTTAGATTATTATATATATTATATAACTATTGTTTATTTTAGAGTGATCCTAAAACTTCCATTAATTACCTTATATATTTAGCAATTCATTGGTTAATTTAAGCATTTATAAACCTTTTTGTTTTACATTATT